AAAACGGTGGTAATTATAACTGCTAACATTTGTTTTTAGCTCTGAGCAGATTGTGCGCAGATTGGGAAGGGCAAACTCCATTCTCCAATTACTCCAGTGCGAACTGTGCCTTCGCAGCACTCGCTAGATCATAGCTGGCTGAAGCGAGAGCAGACTGTCCTCATAGCGAGGCTCGTTTATGTTAAACCGAGGAAGTCAGTCCTCCCATGGCCACAGTCCAGGGCTACTCGCCACTGGATGTAAGAAAATCCTCCAGCAGGCTCCCCACATCTCTTGTGCTTGCTACCAGCAAATCCACAGAATCAAAGCAGTTGGGGGGAAGGGCCATGAAATGATGACGCAAGTTCAAACCCACTTGGCTTGTGAGCCAGTTCAGGTTACTGAGGTAGCCCTGGGCCACCTGGGTAGGAAAGAACAAAGACAGATAACAAAAATTATCGATATAAGTAGTCTGTAATCAATAACACATTCATACAATAAACCTTGAGTTCTATAAAAGCTTAAAGGGAATGGCACCTTTCCTTTAGGCTGGTGAAAGAACAGCTAGTTGTCACTGAGAAGCCATTAACAGGAACAAGACTCCAGAGCTCCCTGGTTTAATTCAAAGCCATTAGTCACTAAGCTTGCCTTCCAGACAGTAATGCACAGGTAGGCGAGGGGTAGAAATAAAGGTATATCTGGGAAATAATACAGGAGTTTCCATCTTGCCGCCTCTATTGTAAAAGACTAAAGACTTTTACACCTTTAATCCCAGCACTTGGGAAGCAGAGGCAGGTGGATTTCTGTGAGTCTGAGGCCAGCCTAGTCTACAGAGTGAGTGCCAGGACATGCAGGGCTGTTACACAGAGAAACCCTGTGTTTACTAAAGGCCTCCTGCCTTCCTGCTTTCCTAAGGGCAGTCACAGGTTGCTATATACTTACTTTCTCACACCAGCTCAAAAATGATAATGAAGGCAGAAAAGGCCTTCTTGGTATTTTTCCATATCATTTATGGAACAAAACACTGATACATAAAGGAGAAAAAATTCATCTGTATGAGTGTATCTTCCAATTATTGATGGCATCACTATTCCTTCCAGTCTGTTCTTTTTAAGTGTATGTGTGTGACGTGTGTGTGTGTGTGACGTGTGTGTGTGTGTGTGTGTGTGTGTGTGTGTGTGCCTGTTCATATTGTGTGGTTACGTGGTGGGGTGTGTATGCATCTGTGAGGATGAGAGCGTGGAGGCCCAAGGCTAACCTCTAGTGTCTTCCTCAATTACTCTCCACCTTTATTTTTTTGGAGATGGGCTCTCTTGCTGAACCTGGAGCCTGACATTTTGGCTAGTCTGGCTAGCCAGCTGGCTCCAGGATTCTCTCTCTCTCCTCTCTCTTAGGTTTCAGGATTACAAATGGGCTACCATGCTTTTATGTGGGTTCTGGAGATCCAAATTCTCCAGTCCTCTCACTTGCCCAGCAAGTAGTTTATCCCACCTGAGCCATCTCTCCAAGCCCCCTTGCTAGTCTTTCTGATATGTTTGTTATACATACCACAAAACAATGTTTGGGGCCTTCTTCTTTTCACTTTTACTGGGTCACAGCATTTTTCTCTGGTGGATTGGAATTGTAACTGGAGTAGTGAGCTGGATGTCACTTGTAGTAAGCCACACTAAAGACACAATACTTAAGTATCTACACATAGCCTTAGTCTTAGCAGGCTGAGGAAGCTCAGGGAGGCCTGACCTGCAGGGTTAGCAGGAAACAGTCTTAGGTTCCAAGAGATCTGTCCTTTGCCAAGGGCTAGAACGAGCTTCCCAGAGCAAAGCTATTCCAAGGACTGGGAAACCTTAAAGGGCAAGAGTTCTGTTGCATGAGGAAAATGCAGTCCTAAGGAAGAAGCTAAAACCAACATCCAATCCTATGGATTAAAGTAACTTCAGAGATGAACAAAAATCTCCAGTATAGGCCAGATGTGACACATGCCTTTAATCCCCACACTTAGGAGGCAGACAGACCTCTGCAAGTTCAAAGCCAGCCTGGTCTACCCAGCAGGTTCCAAGCCAGGCAGAGCTACATAGTGAAACCTGGTCAAAACAAACAAAACACCAACCAAACAAAAACTACAATCTAAAATCTGTGGTGCCAGAGTTATTGAAGGAATATTAGCCTTTGGATAATGGTAGCATAAACAAAGCCAGACTTTACCCTCAGCTAGCCTGAGGCTTTGAAAACATTTTCCACTCAAGACAAAATTCTCATAGGAAATCCACAGGTTTCATCTGATCAAATAAAGTAGAGTATAACTTATCTGAACTGGAAGTTGGATTGCTGGAGAATAGCTCAATGGGTAAAGTACTATGAAAGCCTGAGACCATAAGTTTGGACACCCAAGACTTACGTATAAAGTCAACCATGGAGGCTCCCACTCGTGAACCCAGAGCATGATGGAAAGCAAAGACAGTCAGATCCCTGGGGCTTTTGGCTAGCCAGCACAGCAGAAAGCATAGAAGCTGCAAGTTCTAGGCACAGGAAGAGACCCATCTCAAAAAAAATTTAAAATTAAGATCAATAAAGAAAAATACATGAAGTCAATCTCTAGCCTCCACAGGAGCAAGCCAGTTGAACACACACCCACATACAAGTATACACATATAACACACAGAGAAAATAAAATAAACCAAAAAGACATAGCATTAAAATGTTTCCATATGAGGCACAATAATGAGTAACTGAGCTGTGAAGCCATTAAAGCAAACATATTTTTCACTTTTCAAAGTCTAAGTGAAAATATATTTTGATTGAAATGATGAGTTTACTGTATTTTCTTCTTTACCTGTTCTTCTGTCTCGGCAGAGTTATATGTAAACAACAAAACCATACACATAAACTTCATCTGTGGTACATGTCTGCAATCTCTACCACTCAGGAGGCTGAGACAAGAGGGTTATAAATTCAAGGCTAGCCTGGGCCACATATATTAAGTTCAAGGCCAACAGGAACCACTTAAAGATACACTGTATCAATTTTTTTTTAAAGTGGTGTCTGGAATGATGGTGAATGCCTACAATCACAGCACCTGGGAAGCAGAGTCGGTGGGGTCAGGAGTTCAAGGTCATTCTTGACTTGAATTTGACAATCAATTTCAAGACCAGCCTGAGCTATAGGAGATTTTGTCTCAAATCTTCACCCCCCCCAATAAACTAGAATCTGAAAAAGGTTGGGTCTTTAGCTAGTGGTAGCACTTCCCCAGTAATATGACTGATCAATCAATAAATAAGTACTAGAAAAAGTCTGAGGACTGTTTAATCATGCTTAACAAAAAGGGATTTTTCAACAACAAAAGTTAAACTCGCCACATAAAAACATAGAATTTGGTGCAAGTAAATAACAGCATTGGGGAATGCCCAAAGTATATTATATGCTTGGATAGAAAAGGTATATATCACAACAACCAAATGATACCAGTGCACACTTCTCAAACCAGCAAAGCCATAATTACCACTGGGGCTCAATAAGACTAATTAGCTTTTCTAGGAAGCAAATGGACAAAGCCAGCCTAATGCTATGACTTAATAATAATATACCCTAAATGAAAAGAATCAGACATAGAAAACAATTTACTTATAAAAATATTCATCAAGATCTTGTTAATATTTAAAAGAGGCAAAAAAACTTGGATTTTATAGTTATAGTAAAATTCTAAGTAACCATGAATGTTGCTTTTTGAGGTAATTTTAATAACAGAGGAAAATTCTATGATGTACTACAAATGAAATAAGGGTATAAAACATGACCTGTGGAATACAGAACATACAGAGAGAGAGACTGGAAAAACAAACCTAAAATCAGTAAATGTAATATAATGGGCACAAACTGATGAGTTTCCCTTTTTTCTGTATCAGTACAGGCAATTATTCTCCACAAGAAACACGTAGTACTCACATATGACTTTAAAATGCTTTAACAACTACATCATAATACCCCAGGTAAAACAATAATTATAATTTGAGAATTATTTTTTAAAGAATGGCCATTACTTAAGGATCTCAACATCTGGAATTGGACTGCCCAGGAACCACTAATGTTCTATATTCTAAAGCAACAGTATGTTGTTTGCATTAGACTAATTTTTGAAACTCCTCTAACAAGGCCCACCAACTGAAAATAAACCCTTAGATATGAGTGAAGGTATGCCCACAAGCCAAACAATACACAAGTGGTACTTCTAGAAGTCTCAAACCCTGAGCAAAACTGTTCCTATGAGCCAATTCTGAAAAAAAAAAATAGCATCTTCAAGTCACTGCCAATGTTTTAAGAAACAGCTCACTCAAAAGGCAAGCACACTCAAAACCCTCATTTCATATATATGGGTATATACCAGCCACTACCACATTCAGATAAGAGTAAAGGGAAGAAATCATGAACAAAACAAAAGCCTGCTTCTTTCTTTAGGCTACAAGTAGGAATCACCAAGATGATATGGGATTTGTACTGTTGCCACTAAGCTAATTTTGGTTGAGTCTTGTCTGGTACACAGTAAAGCATTTGATATTTATTATATGTATGATATTATTAAGTCCCAAGACAACCTTATGAGTAGGTACTATAATGATCTTTGCAGACAAAGATGCTGTGGCTCCAGAGGCTAAAGGATGTAACCAAAGACCACTAAGCTGGAATGCAGAACAGCACAGCCTTAAATGTAGGCAGTTTGTGTCTAGCACTTACTGTTAACCCATTTGCTGTACAGACAGGGAATCCATGAAACAGGTAAAGCTGCAATCTGTATTTCTCTCTAGTCTCCCTCACCATCACCTATCACAGTCTCAATGATGAAGAATAAATCTTAAACTCTATAATCTACTCATATATCTCACTTTTAGGCTCTGTGTTTCAATAGAGATTGTGTGATTATACAGGACACTAGGGCTTAGAAAACCTATGCATTGTTTTCAGTTTTTCCTGCTAGTTTTTAATTTCTCTTCTTTGTTTAGATCTGCAGCTAGAAGATAATAAAATCAGCAATGGAGCCCCTGTATGAGGAGTATCTAACAGATGATGGAACAATTGTCAAACCTTATTTCTGGCTAAGCTTCTCTCTAGATTGCACCAACTGCCCTTACCACATTCGGACAGGAGAAGAGGCAAGAGTTCCCTACACAGAATTTCAGCGGATTTTTGGATTCCCATGGTCAACATACCCTCAAATAAAACACCTCACATTTTACGAGCTGAGAAGTTCCTCTTGGAACCTGATACAAAAGGGCCATGCTAGCAACTGCACTGGGAATCTTAGCCACCCAGAATCAATGTTATTTGAGAAGAATGGTTACCTTGACTCAGTCATATCTTATAACAGCAACATTAGACATATCATTCTGTATTCCAACCACTCCCCTTGTAATGAGGCTAGCCATTACTGCATCAGCAAAATGTATACTTTCCTGATGATGTATCCAGATATCACTCTTAATATTTTCTTTTCTCAGCTCTATCATACTGAAAACCAATTTCCTACCTCAGCACGGAACCGTGAGGCTCTTCGGAGCCTGGCCAGCTTATGGCCCCAGGTCACTTTGAATCCAATAAGTGGTGACATTTGGCATTGTATTCTTGAAAATTTTGTTAGTTGTGTCCCAGGTGTTCTCCAGCCCTTTACCTCAGGGAGAATACTGGTTGACAGGTACAATGCTTATGAAATAAACTCCATAACAGGAGTAAAGCCTTATTTTATCAATGTTCTTCTGAGGCAGGAAAGAGAGAGGCAGAGCAGAAAGGTTTGGGCAACTTTAGAAAACTACCCCTTAAACAATGCTGATCCTGGACAAGCCAAACTGAGTCAGGGTCCCAGTACTTCTGTAGTTTCCATGTTGGTGCCTTACAGAGAACTACCACCAATCCTTGTGAGTCAAAACCCACAGAAACCCAGAAATGTGGTAAGACACTTGAATATGCCACAACTGTCATCATCAAAGGCCAAAGACCTTAGGGAATCTCTCTCAGGCAAGCCCATGACTGCAAGCCACAGATGGGTCTGGAGGCAGCAAAGAGGCAAATGAAAAGAACAAACAGAAATGGAAGAAATAAACTTTATCTTATCAAGCATAACATTTGCCAAAGTATTTAGTAGCCAGGTAATAAAAAAAATTGGATAGTCTCTCTCCTAGTTCTATCTGAGATGTAATAAAAGCAAAACCTGATTATTTACTATAACAACTACTGTAAGCGACACAATTTTCAACATAATCCAAAATGTTGGCATAAGCAACTTTATTTCTCTTTCTAAAAGTAACTAACAAAATAAATGCTTTTTAAATGGTTAGTTTATTATTTGTGTGTGTATGGATATTTTGCCTGCATATATGTCTTGCATCATGAGTGTACAGATGGAGGCCAGAAGAGGACATCAGATCCCCTGAGACTGAAGTTATAAATGGTTGTAAGCTGGGAATTGAACCCAGGTCCTCTGGAAGTTGAGCCAATACTGTTAAGGGCTAGGCCATCTCTCCAGGCCCAAAATAAATGTTTTGAGGCAGAAAAGGAGTGTCTCTACTCTATCCTACCCACATCATACTTCCAAAAATGACATGGAATAAAAAAAAAAAAAACTTCTGAACTGGATTCAGTATAAAAATACCCTGTAAAATTAGAGCGCACCCAAAGGCACTGACATCAAGTGCCATCTCAGGGGCAAAGTGGTGGATTTTCCACTGATTGTTGACTATGGTTGGAAGAGTTTTGGGCAGCCCATTTTTTTTGAAAGTGATTCAAAATTGTTTTGTGTCAGTAAAAGCTCTTCTGCAAATTGATTACATATGACTACAAAAAAATTGATTTTTTTTGAAACCTAGCCAGCTACTCAGTTTGATCTTTCTGACTCAGAGCTCTCTCTCCCAAGTAAATCATAGAAGCAGGATGGTGTGTGAGAATCTTCAAAGGCTCACTCCATAACCTACTATACCAACCTCCATCACACACTATACCAAACTCCAAACCACTCTTGATGGCTTCCAAAGTTCTTTATTTCCTTATCTCATCAAGATACCAGTTTCCTACAGGGTAGGCCAAATCAAGTTTCTCTCCCTCCCTCCCTCTTCCCCCTCCTCTTTTTTTCTCTCCCTCCTTCTCTCTCTTCTTTCTCCTGTAACATATAACACAATATCCACTCAAAATGTAGGTAGCACAGTTGACTCTCCATCTTAATAAACTCACCAATCACTGTGCCCCAAATCCTTTACCCACTCTAGGCAGGTGCCCCCTTAACCACCCTCCACGCCTTCGGTTGTGTGTTACCATTATCCCTCTTCTATTAAGGCTCCCAGGTGCAAAATGAATGTGTATTTCTTTCCTTTTTTCTGACCTCTTCTTCTGTGGATATATATATATATATATATATATATATATATGTACCTTCTCTTAAGTTCTTCAAAACATACTTCTTTTAAAGAACTTTTCCTTGACTAACCCTCTGAGCCACTTAAATAAAATTATTTTGCTTATTATAACCCACATTTGCTGCTTCATTTCTCCCTTGGAACTATGTAAATACATACTATAGAAAAAGTGCATTCAAATGCAAATTCCTATTACATATAGAGTCGAGACTGACTATAAAATCTCCAAACAAAGTCATGCTACCCTAAGAAGGTAATATGCTAATATTAACATTAAATCCCATAACATTCCATGAAGGGGAAGGAGGAGATAAGAAAGAAAAAGAACTGTCTTAGGAATAAAAATTTAAATTGTGATTAAAATAAACATGAATATATAAAGAAAATTTCTGTCGTTAGACTGCAGATTTTGATCAAAATAATTGAATATAATTTTATCATGGATATACAGTAACTACTGTAAAGAGATATGTTGAAGTTTATCATTAAATTATGAAATCCTATGTCCACAAATTGGAATGCTATGTTGGGGGGAAAAAAGACACCAATTCTGAGTATTATAAGGATAGCGCCAAGGCTGAGAATCTAACTCCATAATACAAGCCTAACACTGTAAGGTCCTGAATTTGATTCAATAGCACCTCTTCTGCCAAATTAAAGAGATAAAAATCATTGCCATAAAACCAGTCTTCAAAGTGGTGAAGTAGACTACAGCAGCCATAAGACACCAATTGTCTGGAATCTATGAATTTGAGTTTCAAATACGTATTTAGATTTTAATGGTATATAATAAGAGAGGAACCAGTTGTCCAGTTGTGGTGCCACACACTTGTAGGATTTGCTGAGAAAGGCAGAAGAATCACAAGTTTGAGGCCAGCCTGGGCTATGAGAGAGAGAGAGAGAGTGAGAGAGAGAGACAGAGAGAGAGAGAGAGAGAGAGAGAGCAGAGGAGAGAATGTTGACAGAACTATAGGAAAGAGAAGTGCCCTTGACCATTACATTTTATTACTAATCAGATAGGCCTGTGTCAGAGTTTTCATTGTGAAGAGACTATGACCACAGCAAGTCTTATAAAGAAAATATTTAATTGAAGTGCCTTGTTCACTGTTCCAGAGGTTCAGTTATCATTATGATGGGGAGCATGGCAACATGCAGGCAGACAGGGTGCTGGCTACAACTTGACCAGAAGGCAGCAGGAAGTCAACTCACACTGGGTGGTATCCCAAGCATAAGAAACCTCAAAGCCCACCCCCACAGTGACACACTTCCTCCAACAAGCCCACACCCACTCCAACAAAAGCCACATCCCCTAATAGTACCACTCCCTACAAGATTATGGAGGCCAATTACATTTAAGCTACCACAGCCTGTAACAGAATGTAAATGACAAGCCTTAAATTCAAGCCAATACAATAAAGCTTTACAGAAGAAAATGTATTCCCTTAGCCACGTGTGGGCTACATAGTGAGACTTTTCTAAAACAAAACAAAACAAAAAAAGTGGTCTAAAGTAATCTGTTTCCTTATCTGTAAAAGCAAGGAGTAAGGGCAGAGATGATCCTGAATTCCTGATACCCCCACCTCCACCTCCCAAGCACTGGAATTAAGACATGCACCACCACACCCAGTTTATGGAGTACTCATTATTGAAATCAGGACCTTGTTCGTGCTAGGCAAGCATTCTCCTAACTGAACTAGATTCCTGAGATTGCTCATTTTGAGTTCCACCTCCTTTAAGAAAATATCAACAAAGCAACTTTTCCAAGATGTGAGCTCTACACAGTGGGTTCCTGGTCATGCATGGCTGGCCTAGAGATGGCGAGTGTGAGAAGTTTAGAAGTTCTGGCCCTCTTCAGCAAAATGACAATGGATTAAGATGCTTAAGATGTTTAAGAATATCATTACCAGTCAGGCACAGTGGCTCAAGAGGAAGAAGCTGGTGGAACTCTGTGAGGTCAAGGTCAGCCTGGTCTCCATAGAGAGTTTCAGAACAGCCAGGACTATATAGAGAGACTCTGTCTCAGGAAAAAAAATACATCACTTCTATCACACACAAGAAAGTTCCAAATAAGTAAAATAGAAGACAACAGATCAAACCAGTTTGTGACACAGATCTGAAAAAAAAGACATGAGGGTATCATCCAAGAAACCAATAGGTGAATGGAAAGACACTACCTTCAGTCTGGTTCAGAGTTTGACTCTCAGTTTTGTAGACACAATTACCTATGTAGTCGATATGAAAGGAATGGATTTAGGTCAGGGGTAGACAGATTTACAAAGCTCCCAAGAGTAACATGTAAAGACAGCTAATGAATTGATTTCCAGTGGGATTTACATCTGGATATGCACACAAATATTTAAATCATCCAGCTTATAGTCTTCCTATGTATATTTATTATATAAGAAGCTCGCTGGATTTAAATGAGGATTCAAGCAGTTAATTGTATGAGTTAAATGTCTGTACTATCTGATTCTGCATTTGCATGGAGATAGGCATCTGCCATTTGGGATGGAACAAGGAGGCATGTACAAGAGCTTCTGTCTTCTAAGTGTTTGGTAGATGCAGCCTGTAAGAGACAACACAAAGTCTATAGTCAACTCCTATTGTGTCTAAAATATTGATTTTCTATTGACAATGTTGTTTGAGACAAGTTCTCACTCTGTAACCCAGGATACTCTAGTGGTGACTATGTAGCCCAGGGGCCTCCAGCTCAAGGCGATCTTCCTGCATCAGCCTCCTGAATGTGGGATTGTAGGTATGAGGCACCACACCCATCTTTCTTGATATTCAATAAGTTCCATCAAATTACAGTCTAATCCTACTGACTTGACCTGAGAGCAAATCTCATTTCTTTACATTTCTGCTACATACCTTGACTTCATGTGTGCATGTATGCGCCTCAGCCTTTAACGAGTAAGCTATCTTGCCAGACCTCTGCCATGCATTTTTTGACTCATAGTACATATAGTATAACAAAAAGTTTAGTTCATAGAATAATGTAATACTATTCATCTCATCTTCAAGGTTCTAAGGAGTTTTATGTCAGGTATTTAAGGCACTTACATATTAACTCATTCAATCCCTCCAATAATCCTATGAAGCGCGTGTTATTATAATACCTAAAAAGATAGTACCACAGAGAATTTGTGTTGGCCTGAGTATCAAATCCTGATGACTGAGCTGACAGTCAAGTTCATGTCTGACTGCAGAGCCCATGTTCTTTTCTTTAGCACTTCCCTAATGGTGTGTGATGTCTGGGAAACCCAGTGGTCATCAGTACCTCCTTGTGACTTCTCAGCAATTCTGTTCAAACTATACTGACTAGAGCCATCTTCTAGACTCGGGAAGCCAAGTGGCCTGCACAACCTAGGTTGGGAAATCTCAGGTGGTGGCTTTTAACCCACACTACTCCCCTTCAACCATCACCACACACCAACATAGACCCCAGGATTATCTGATTCTGTGGTGTACCAAATAGGGCATCCAAAGAAATGGGATGTGGACTTATAGCACTTAAAATTTGTTAAAATTAAAAGCAAACAAAACTATCATATAAATTCACTTTTTTATATACCTCTAAGGTCCAAAAGTAAAGACTTGAGGAATTTAGGATCACATGTTTACAATAACACATTACCCCCAAAGCTATAAGAAAATAAACCAAG